TCCCACAGAGACACGATAACTGCAGCAATTCCAAGAACAGAAATCATAGTTAAATACACAATCATAGGCACCAGACGACAATAAAATCCATAATAAATCCATGGAATGAAAGAACCAACAATAAGTAAGGTAATACCAGTATAATCCAATCTAAAACATAATATTCACAGATAACAAAATCATTTCAACCTTTACACGTTGGTTCAGCTAAACAGTGACGACAAAACTTAGTATGAAAAACCAATAATTTTTTCTCCGACATCTAACAAACATTCAATAATATGTTAAATTAAGTACTTTTTGTAATTAACATAGCCATTCAGTTTTTACTTCACCAAAATTTTGTTCCAAAAAATTCTCGTTTTCATTTGAAATAAGTAATATTACCTTAATACAACCAAAAACTAAAATCATACTTAATATCATAGGAAAATAAAACAAAAGTGTGAACATAGAGTTACAGAAACTATTCTTCTCGGTCTAAATCTGGCTTCACACAAACACATACCAACCGATATAATGATTGAAACATTTAGAATCAAATTATTCCAAGTTTTATAACTGAAATGACAACACAAAACAAACTTGCTGAACAGTTTTCCAACTCCAGCAGAATGGCACTGCACTGTATGGAATGCAAACGATAATCCCAAACAAGCCACTGCACCGACAAAATATGTCCCAAAAACAATTTTATCTTCCGACTGCACCAGTGTTGATGGACGAGTTAAAAACCAGGCTGCAGCTCCAATGAATGCCAAACATCCTAGAATCAAATTAATAACATAGTAATTCATCTACTAAAACTACTTCAGTAATTCATCCATTAAAATTATTTCAACTTTCAACATAATTTTGGATCACAAATGTACAGAAAAAAGTTTGAGGATACTAGCACCCGCCTTCATCCAAATTTTCTTCAATTTACTTTCAAGCGCGATCAAAATCTAATAAAAAATTTTGAAATTAACTAACCGTACATATGAGTCCAAATGTTACCAGTTTCAGTATGTAGAGAAAATATACTTTTGAAGCACGAGCCAAAGCTCGGCAACGGTGGCCTATGTCCCGTACGCAGATACTCGTTATCTTGCAACCATTCTGGAAGCAATTCAAAATTCGTAGCTTTCCATCGTGCTTCCCAAATCTTAAATAATTTAGTTCCTGGACTGACTGCTAAAGAATAATATATTCCAAAAATATACGAATGACACGTTTAAAGGGTAAATAAATAACTGAAGGAGATACCCTTCTAATAGCAACTCTTGCACCACCTTTGGAATTTTCTTCATTTGGAAGAACATCCTCTTCATTGATTTTCACCTAAAATCAATATATAATATGCAAAAAAGCAAAGTTTCATATACAAGGAAAAAGATCAGTACAAAAATTATACAGGGACTGTTTATTCCTATTTTATCTCCTAATCAAGAAATCGTCGATAAATCCAAAAAAAAAAAAAAAATAATGAATAGCATGCTTTCCAGTAAAAATGTTTCCCAAATGTTTGAAATGCGAAAAAAAGCATACAGTAAGATCAGCGTCATCATCTACCGAAACTGGTACCATAACTGGTAATCCATTCGAAATATAAGTTACTGTTTTCATTAGCTCGTTTACTGTCTTCTCCGGCGCATACGTCTGAAATCGTGCAATATTATTTTTTTTTAATTATGAAAATATTTCTTACAAAGATATAGATTTGACAAGACGAAATTATATTTTCATTTGGACTGTACAGTTATGACCAAATTTCCAGAAAAATGACAAATTTCATATAATAAGCAAAGACAGTAATCGGGAAATCACTCACCTTGACGGTCATTCGCGTACGGTCACCACTAGCATTTGGTACTGAAAAAGCTCGTCTATGACCACGATTAAATTTTCGTATATATTTCCCCGCTTCATTGACTGGACCCATCATTTCTAGTAATCTGAAAAGCACAATTTTATTTGGCTTCAACAATGCAATAAAAAAAAGAAAGAAAAAAGATGCTTGCAACTGTATGAAAAAGAACTGGTGTAAACAAATCAGCAATGTTTACCTCTTATCTCTGTAGCACAATACAGTACTACTAAAACGGCAAAACTGTTCCAACAATGTAATAGTGTCATTACCCAGTACCAAGTACAATTAGGCCAAGTCCATGTAACACAACATACATCAGCACCAAGCTTATTAAGATTGAGCTGGTGAAGTGAAGGACAGTGGAAGAGAGGGGTAGGGAGGTATGTGAGGAAATAAAATGATAGGAATTACATCAAAAACATAATCTTTTGTCCAGGCTTTTCCCGTCTTACATTTCACAATTTTACTACATATAGGACCGATATAAACATATATAACTTCTCAATCATAAAATACTTACATATATTAGAAAATGCATAAAAACACAGTAATAGTTCAAATAAGTAGTCCAAGTAATAATTCCATGTAAACGTTATCGAAATACAATTACCCGTTAGTATGCCTCAATCCCAACGAGGCATGTATGATACAAGTCTGAAATGAAAAAAAATGTGGGATGTGACTCAAAACTTTGAAATCTATAGCGGCCTCTAGACATTCCACTGAAATAACTCATACCGCTTCTGCTAGTGAAATGAGTTAATTCAAAAAAATACCAACTGCTTTTCTAAAATCCCTGATGGAAATACATGAAGCATGGAAATGAAATAGAGCAATTAAATACAGGATAGTATAAGCAGAAATGAAGAACAGTCACTTTTTTTAAGGTTTTAAAGCAATGCATACCTCAATGAACACCACATTCTAAAATTATCAAGAAAACTCAAAGTTTCAAAGACTAAACAACTTTTTTTCCATACATTAGAACACCCAAAGAAGCGCTGGATGTTTATCCCAGCCAACACAGCCTGACCAGCAACCAACTGTGGCAAGTGAAACTTTACCACTTCCAATATCTCTTAGAATCTCATTCACTATAACATAACTTTATCTTACTCGAAAAACATAAAGTAACTATCGGGGACACAAATTCACTAAAAATATGCGAAGTAATGGTTAAAATCCCGAAATCCAACAAGAAATGTTCTTCTGTGCACATTTTATCACTTAGTAACACATGCTTGGAAAAAATAAAAAAATTGGCAACTTTGGAAACGATTGAATTACAGTTGAAGTTTTAAGATGCACAAACTGGAATTTTGAAATGTCAATCATTTTAATTTAAACAATGGAAATTCCTTGAAGCATAAATTACGCAATTTTAATGACTGGGAATTTACCTATGAATAAAACATGATGAATTCTTGGGGATATAAGAGAACCAGACCACATAATACAGTGCAAACTGGAAGTTAAATCAGTAAACTGATGTGTTTTTCTTTCGAAAGATTTAATGAAATATAATGACACAGCATTAATCGTTTCGTCTAAGAAAAAAAAAAACTTGTCTATGATTTGATAAAATTACCAAACTTAGCAGTTCAAACAATATTCTTCCTCATTTCTCACGAAAAATTTTGACCGAAATTTCAAAAGTAATAATTTTACTAGCATTACAACAAACACATCCTTATCATCTAACCTCAATTCCGTGTTTGGTTGAAATTTAATCTAAAAATCAGAAATGCAAAACGAAAAGGACTGATGTTGTAGATAAAAGGAACAAAAGATTTTTGAATTTCGATAAACTAGTCCGCAAGAAGAAAAAAGCACTACATAAAAAAGAGTAACACTTCAATTTTTAAAAAGAATTCCAGACGGTAACACCTTCAAATTCACACTATAAAAAAAAAAAAATGGAATATGATATATATACAAGCCTAATAAACACCCCAAAGCGTTATTTTCAGTAATAAAAATTATATAAATTTGAATTTTTTATTCAAAATGAAGCTGAATTTCCATAAGAACTCGATAAAGCATCAGAACCCAAAATGAAATTTCTTTGAGATTCTAAATCGTAAAATACGAAAAGCCTCTTTAAAAAAGTACACCCGTTTACTGCTTATATATTTGTCGAAATTGCTGCAACAGTTTAAAAAAAATGTGACAAAACTTAAAGAAGCGAACAAGTGCAGACACAGGCTGTTCCATCACTGAAACAAACAAAATGAGCTTATTCTGATAAGGCTTAGTAAAATGTCAATACAGATGAATTTTTTAAAAGCATAATTAACATTATAGACATAACATATCTTTTAGCAAATAGTTGCCTGCTTGCTGTAGTTTGTATATTGAAAATAAGCAAGAAACAAAAAAGTGAGAGAACACACTTCCTAACTGAAATAATTCGAAATTATAGAAGCAAAAATTTTAAAGACAACATTAAATAGCAATAAAATGACTAGAGAAAATTAAAATTAAATTGAAATTAAAGAATTCGTAAAGCATGCCTGATTTGTACATAGCAAGAGAAAATAGAAAAAAAAGGCTAAAGCTTTTTGCAACGCTAAATAAATGATGACCTAGCTTTAATCACATGAAAGACATCGGATTATGGTATGAGGGAATCTTTGAAAAGCTTACTTGTAATTTTCAATAGATTTGATTAAACTATCCTCAACATACCAAATCAAATAGAGCAGAATTGTGCAGTTTGAATCACGCTATTAGAAAGTAAAAGATGTGAAATAGATCAGACAGTTTTTTTTTGGAAGACACAGATAACCAGAATTGTAAAGCTAATGGAGTGAAGTCTTAAAGCTCAATTTTATGTACAAACACAAGATAAGCAGGCTATAATAAGCAAGAAATAAAATCAATACTTTTTTCTAATAAAGTAGAACAAGGGAACATCATAAACAAAATAACTAAAGATCTCATGGTGGTAAAATTAAAAATATATTAAAATTAAAAAATAAAAGATTATAAATAAGCAATAAAAGTACTGCTAATAAAAAAAGACTCAAAAATAATTATTAAAAATTTTCGAGAACGCTCTTTTCTGCATATTTCTGGAACGCGAATAGAAAAATGAGGATATAATTAATATAAAGTTCCATTAGCAAGAGAAAGGAGTAAAATATGCTTAAACCACCATGTTAACTTGTGTTGTTTCCGTTAGCACACCACTATCTCTTTCACTCGCGGGCTGCTTTTCAATTGTTGTTGCAGCCGAATCACTCTAAAAGATACTGGGAACGATTTGTTTCAAAAAATAACATGGAGCGCAAGTATTCCTTATTTAAAATTTTTAAAAAATAAACTATTCCAGTGCTAACAAACTTTTTGAAATTCATAAATTTTATTAAATGAAATCCTTGCAACCAACACAAGCGAATTTACCAACCTTTACAGAAGAATACTGCCTTGAGTCTTTTCGCTTTCCCATGAGCAAAATTACGGAGCATACACCAGCAGCTAGTAAAAGGAAAGTGATGGCGCAAATAGCAAGTGAGTATTGCAAACTTCTATCAATTGAAATCTTATCAATATCTTCACGTCTCTTGTTCCAGTCCTCTTCAGCACCAATTTCAACAACTAACGTCGAGGACACCCGTGAAAGTACCTCATTACCTACTTTAAATTCGCATCCGTAAACGCCACTGTCTGAAGCTCGCGCCTGAATGCAAATTACAGAACTTCGAAAGTTTAAAGACTCAATTTTAAAACTCAAAGAGGAAATAAATACCAGTTCCAAAATGAAAACACATAGAAATGATATAAATTAAAATTGAAATTTGACATACTTCACTTAGCACCAGCAACTGATTGCTAGCTTTAAAGGCCAGACGTGAAGAAGCTGTATTGGGGTCAATTAAATGACCATCACGCAACCACTGCACTGACACACGAAACTGTTTATTGATTGAACAATTGAAAATTACCGTCGCTCCGGAATGTACTTTACGATCCTCAAGTTGTGGCCAGACTTTATCTGATATGCAAATTTCGAAATATAATTCGATTAGTGTAACACAGAAAATTCGCAAGTCAAGAAGAAAAAATTCATCTATAAATGAAGTCAAAACTAAACTGCATAGAACATAAAATAAAAAATTCAACCTTCTACCAGCAGAAATTACTCCAAAATAAACCGAAAAAATAGTAGAAAGTAACAAACAAATTATGATTACCATAAACAAGAACGTGTGCTGAACTTTCCACATGTCCAGCTTCATTGCTTACACGACACGTATAAATACCCGTATCTGCTAATGAGACATTGACCACATATAAATTATCATCATTAGCTTTCACGTGTAAGCGTCTTTCCACAGCAGCTGGAAATGAATCGCCACCATCTTTCATCCACTTAATGACTGGGGTCGGAACACCTTAAAAGATTTTGGAGTGAGAAATAGGAGTTACAGGGTATGGGAAAAGAGAGAGCAGAGGAAAGATTCGAAAAAAGACCCTTCACTGTTTAAATGATTTCAAACCTAAAAACTTTTTTCCACACTAAACCGGAAGAAAGTGCTATAAGCTAACTAAACAATACAAGGTGTCTCATAAAACCTACTTTAAAATCTTGGAGTAACACAAGTAAAAATACTTATGTTACAAGCTTTATAAAACAAAAATGCATAGAAATGCTTACCTTGTGCAGCGCATCTTAACCTAGCGCTGCCACCACGAACAATCGATACATTTGACGGTGAATAACGAATTCGCGGTTTTTGCAGGACCATTAATTTCACTCTGTAAACGAGAAAATTATTCAGATTATTGAATAAAAGAAAATCAGTGGTGACAACTACTTTTGGCCTAGACAAAATGGGTGCGTCTTGACCCACTGAATTATTGACAGATGGATGAAACTAGCAAAAAACGCAAAGTTTTACTTCAAAGAATATGCCGAGCCATAATGATTCCGTACAATACATTGATATTCCGCCTGATCACTAAAATCAATGTCACTGAGTTGCAATTCACTAAAAAGATATTCCATTGCAAGTCCTGTAGCCGTGCCTAAAAGTTGCTTTAAATTATTTTATTTAGATTCATGAAGGCTTTATAAAGACTTAGCCAATAATTATAAAAACTAACCGTTTGTAGCCGATGAATGATTATAAACGAAAATAGTTGTCGCATCATGCGATAACAGACGAAATCGTCCATCACGAATAACTTTCCATTTGATATCCAATGGCGTAGCACCATAACCAGTACAATTTAATTTAACACTAGTTCCTAGTAGCGCTTTCACTAATGCGATGGGATGATTCAACAATCGAGGACGGGGCGAATCATCAACTGAAAGAAATTTCATTCTTGAATCATTGAATTTCAAAGTCAATGAATTAAATTTAATAACCATGAAAAAAAAAAAAAACTGCTTTGTAAACTAAGCCCGGAAATATGAAACATGACAAATGACCAGCTTTAAACCGTACCACATGTCAGATTTGCATCATCAATCACAGCAACATCAATACCACGTAATGCTACTGGATAGGAACACAACATTGTTATGGTTTTGCGATCCAGTTTGGATGAAAATAGCCAGTGCGAAAACCACTTCAGCTCACAATCACAAACAAGAGATGAAGTATTTATAAAACTGCAAATCAGAAATAGCTCTGAAGAGAGGAAAGTTTCCAAATAAAAATACTACTAATAATACATGGAATTATATTGGTTATCTCATTTATAAACTAACAGTCGTCTCAAGTGTAGGTATTCAAATGCACCATTCTGCACGCCAGCAATAGGATTATCCGTCAAATCGAGATTTTGTAATGCTGGAAAATTTTCAAATGCACGTGCTGGAATTATTCGAACTCGATTAGAAGTAAATTTGAGGGTCCGCAACGTTGGTAGAGAGGTATTTGCAAGAACTGACTCATCTTCAACACACATTGCCAATCCATTTCCAGAAAGATCACTGAAAACATTTAATTAACACGTTAATGTTATATATTAAACTGAACAAAGAGTTGAAATATCGCCAAATTCCTGAAAATGAGGATTTTCCTGGACCATATGAAAAAAAAAAAAAAAAAAAAAAAAACTAAACAAGTACCTGAATGAAATGTAAACTAACAGATAATTTAATTTATCCAAATCATGCATCGCATTTCGATGGATTGTATCTATTTGATTATCAGCTAATGAGAGATATTCCAGACGTGAAAGCTTTTTAAACAATAGTGAAGGAAGCGTACGAAGACGATTCGAAGACAAATCAAGCCACTGTAAAGTCGAGCATAGAGACCATACTGATGAATCTATCCATGCAACGTCGTTCGAACTCAGATCACTAGAAAGATTGTAATATTTTGAGAAATAGTTTGATTTCAAGATTTCACAACCTAAAACTTTCATGAAAATTTGAATCTACTAAAATGAATCCTGAACTTAGATTTAAAGTAAAAGATACAGAGCTGTAAGCGAATGCATCCCATACAGCCAACCACCAGTGACTGCCTTCAATTGATTTTCGGCAATATTCAACCTCTGAAGCTGTTCCAAACCCCAGAATGTCCCATCTTCAAGTGTATCCAACAAATTTCGCGTCAGTGACAAATTTTGAAGAGATGTCAGTGAACTGAACGTCAGTGCATGCAAAACTGCGAGACGATTACGACTGAGATCTCTAAAAATACTTCATTTGCCGACTAAAATACGAAAGTAAGGGGAAGAAAAACAAATCCGTTTAATAAAAAGGAGAGTAAGCTTCAAACAGGAAAAAAAAAACTATGAAAATCACTTTTGTTTTACTTAAAAAAAAAATCTACATTTAGGATTTATAATTAGCATAAATTTCTTACAAATACCAATAACGTGAAATAAGAAAAAAAGAAAAATAAACTTTTGAGAATCAAAATTACACACTCAAAACTGCTTCCGATTCCTACAGTCTAAGAAAATCCGTTAGGTTCAATAAAAATAAGACCACTACTTATGGCGGGCAACACGCACACAAGAAATGTAAAATCAAAAATTTATTTAAACGTTTGCTTACAAAAATCGAAGTGCAAACAGTCCCTGGAAAGCATTTTTTTCGATGGTTTCAATTTTGTTCCGTGATAACCTCAAAACTCGAAGTGACTGCAGCGCTATGAATGTATCGGAACGCAATGACGCCAACAGGTTATTGCTGAGATCTCTATAAGAATACGCATTGAAAGAACTTAAACAAAGCGATAAAATCTATAAATTTTCAAATTTGAAATAAAAGATTGCATCTTTCAATTATTTCGTGATCAGAAAAGGTTTGAAGTTGACAGTGTAACTTCACAAAAAAAAAGAAAAAAAAAAGAAACATCACAAAAATATAAACTCATACAATTTTGTGATTTTGGCGTTAGCGGCTTGCAACGCATGCAAATGCGGGAAATCACGCAAAACATTACGACTCAAGTCGACTACGTCAATCTTCGCAATCCGTGAAACATCAATGGTCGTAATTTGCGAAATGTTATTCGCTTTGCTAAAGAAGTTTTAATTGAATTCATTTTTCTCATGGTTTCTTGACTAAGAACTTGCAGTGGAAGTACGACCTGAGAAATTGTTTTACGAAGGTCAATAAAACTTACAGATCAAGTTTACGCAAATTCGCTAAAGATTCAATCCCAAGCGGAATCGAAGTTAGCCGATTCTTCCGAAGCAAGCTGGAAAATATTTACAGATGTTGATTCAAACTAATAATATACAGTAGTAGAGTGGTGACGTTCTTAAAGCACAAATAAAATAGGTGTTCTTATCAAGTGTCAGGAAAAATTCACTGTAAAAGCCAAATGTAACACGCCAGGTCTAATTCGGCATAAGCCTATCTAAGAAACTCGCCACATTAACTGCACTATTTTAACCATTAGATGATTGCTTGAGTTACTTAAACTTCACCAATTTATATTCACAGAGTAATAAGGTAACATATTCCACAAGAAACTAGAGTAATATAAAGTGTAGTTTAGTAGATGAAAAAAGAGCACATTGCATACAGCGCTTCAAGTTGAGGAGTATGGGCGAAAACAAGACGTGAGAAACCACCGATTTGATTCTCGCTGAGATCCCTTAAAATACGAAAAAAAAAATCATTTCAATATGTGTAAAATTACTACAAATCACATGCACGCAAAAAAGAAAAAAATTTATGCTGTTGCAGCGAATGTTACATTACTAGCTTCGTTATTAAAATGCATCAGAACTTACAGAGAAATAAGACTGCTCAATCCAACGAAAGCAGTAGGCAAGATTTTTTCAATATAATTCCCTTGAAGTTCTCTATAAAAATTGAGTATAAATTATGCTAGGACTAAAATGTTCTAAAATAGCAATATATTTCTGATTGGATACGTTAAAGCTTATCTCCCAGTCTTTTTTCTAATGATACAGCCGTATGGGTTAGCGTAGCAATAATATAATCCACTGTTATAATTAATATAACACCAATATTTGATAATACACTAATATTTCATATGAAGACGAATCAAGCAATCAAAAATTATATTACTATATTATATTACTGCTGTACATATATATATATATATATATATATATATTTATTTAGCTCCATCTTGCCGAGTTCTTTAACCTCTCACCAACACTAATCCTTAAATGTAGTTCTAAAAAGCTTTAGCTAGCATGTGAAAATACAAATATTTTTTTGAGATTCAAACATCCACTTTACATAAGTCCTTTTTTTTTTTTTTGAAAGGAATCCTCACGAAATTCTATTTACAAATTGAAAAGATTTAAATTAACGTCATAATATGCATACAGCGTAATCGCCCAAGATGGTAATGAAAACGGAACATCGGTTAAACTGCGATGACTACAGTCGATGTGGGTATCAAGGCAATAACATTCTTCAGGACACTGTTCTAGGCAAATCACTCTGGTGGACAGAACGAACATCGTCATGCATAATATAAGCGTTCGATTCTTTGCGTAAAACCATTGCCCCATCACATTAGAACAACCTACAATTAAACGAATTAAGAGGGCTAGAGATGAGTAAAAACACGAAGTTTAGGATATCATCGAAGAAATGGAAAATGAAGAAAAAAAAAACAAGAGTAATGCAATTTTTTCTTGATAATTTACATTGTAAATTATAAGTGAATAAATCTATCATCCTTTACCGCGGATTCATTCCAGAAACTTTAAAGACTTTAAGTTTGAAATTGATATTAAAATCAAGAATTTATAATTTACACTAAATAAGATTTGGGTACACCAATTTCTCTTTCTTGAGTACGCCACTAAAGAAGTACAGCCAAGTCATTGTTCCATCGAATGTTCATCCTTCATTCTAAATAATCGCCAAACGGTATAAAGCTTGGACCTATCTTGCTGGAATTATGATAAGTGATAATGTTGCACTGTAATTACCATAAATAATAGCACAATACTGCAATTATGGGGAATAATTATAAATAACAATATGGCAGATAAAAATCACTAAAACCTTACACGATACATTACGTACCGCTTTTACTTCAATAACTGTTTGATGCTTTATGTGAATATATCTTGCAACATAGACAGAAGTATTACAGTTCTAGCGACTTATAGGTTAATAACGAGAATTTTTATCACTTAATACTGGTAGCAGTAAACTATTTTTCAGTAGAGATTTTAGGGAAAAATAAAACTAAAATTATCGATTTGAAAACATTAGAAGAGTCACTCTTGAAATTCCTGAAGTATCTTGCTACGCTGAATCTCATTTTGCATGGTTTTTTTTTAATGCAAACCTATCGGAAATTCCAACTAAAGCTTATGGAATTTATTCACATAGAAAGGAAAATAAGAAAATTATGGAATAGATGATTCAGAAAAACTTTCTAAACTTCTTCCGAAAAAATTCCGGTAAACAGTTCCATTCCGGAAAAGGTACTAAAAAAAATGTTATACAACAAAAAATGCATAACAAACTCTCCCTACATATATTCGTCAACAAAATAAGAGAAAAGTAAATCTTAATCGCGCCATAGCCGCCCATTACTATAGAATACGGTTCGGCCCGAAATTTCACAAAAAAAAAAAATTGTTCAATCTGGTAGTCTTTTAATTTTGAAATTCATTTTCTTTCAAATTATTTGAGACAAAGTGTTTCTAAAGAAATAACAAATAATTATGATTAATTATAGTTCACGTCAATACATTCATTTATTGAAAAATGTTAATTTATGAATTCAATTAATTTATGGGAAAAACAGATTCAAAAGTGAAGAAATGAAAGTCTACATTTGTGTGTTTTTCATTTTCACTAATTTATTAGTTGAGGGAATTGAGTTGATAACAAAATCATTGTCACATTTATATTATCAATGAAGAGAGAGAGAGATAAGATTGACTTTCATAAGTTAAAAATATGATGCATAGAAGATTGAGTATATTTTAGTGTGCTTATCTATATTTTTTGAAGATGAAAATTGCAAGGAACTAAAGAGCATTGCAAAAGAACATAATTGTGTACGAAATGACGCAACAAATTATGGCTTTTCAGAATGACAGTGGCATTATCGATGTAAAAAGCAAAGGATTGGCACAAATAATCGAAGGAGCAGATAACGAAACTATCTATTAAAACTTTTGTTCTTTCTAAACTAAAGTTACATCAGAGTATGAAGAATCACGTAAAACATAAAAGAACAATAGAAAATATCCAATGGAGCGTTGTCGAATAGCTTTTCCAGAAAATAAGTTAAAATACCGTCTCATGAAAGGTAGTAAAGGATGTCAAATATGATACATGCAAGATTGTCCAGTGATGCCTAATGTAAGTGCAAAGTTTCCAAAGTTAAATTGAAAATTAATTTTTCAATATGCCTGATTTGGGAAATATTTGGAACAAGTATTCTTTCCTTGTTTTTCTCCTCTTCACCACTTTTTTTTTTAATTTGGGAAAAGTATCAGGTAGAGTTTTTTGGGTCGTTATTATAATTTATAACCTATTTATAACATTGGTCAGTTTTTATCAACAAATCGGTAAAAAGCGTTTTTTTTATTTATTTCTTGAAAATGCTTACGTATTTTCTTACAAATTACGACTTGAAAACGGGAAAAGTTTATAAGTGTGTTGATTACTTGATCAGAATTTTGCAGAAGATTTCACGGGATAAGCTTCATTATTTTAGTAGAATACTAATATATCTCAGCATGTATTGCAGAATTCTTTCACCTTCTTACCAAAATGTTTCTGCATTTCATGGATTTGTTTGCCGTATCATAGCACTTTTCTAAGAGCTTTGTTAATATTTTATTTTACTTTTGTCATACAGTAGTTAGTTTCTTAAATGTCACCTGTCTTTGGGAGCAAAAAGCGTTGCATGTATGTACTAGGAACATTCCGGAAGTTTTTTTTTTTTAAATTCAGGTCTTATTAAAAGTTTCCACACTACTCGACACTGTCGTAGAAAATTCATTTTGAAAAATAGCACTAACTGTTAGAACTCTTAGAAAATAGCTGCAAATATTAGAAATATGAAATGCTTTTCGAGCATTTATTCTGGGTCGTATTAATCGATGATGGAATTAGGTTATTTTTAGAATACATTAGGAAATGAATGTGATAAAGAAGAAGAAATTTGGCGTATTTTTGTATGAATGAAAATGCTTTTATGCAAAAAAAAAGGCTTTCATATTGCAATAAATTATTTATATTGGTATAAGTGATAAAAGATCAAATGTTATCAAGTTAATGACAAGATTTGATAAGTACAATGTAGTTTAACAAATATATGAGGAAAGCTTATCGATTTCATTATCATACTACATCATATTACAGTTTAATGATAAAAATGTTGAACATATAACATGATTTATTTATTTATTTATTACATCTAAAATGTTCAAAAGTAATTAAACATAAAGTGTGGTGCAAGTAATATGCTAAAATTACTTTGCAGTGGTACAAATACTCACATAAATTTTTAAATTTTGAGGCTAAATGAATGATTACTATTGTATTTTTCGGCGACATTCAATTATCATAGAAGAGAAAGTAGGAAATTTGTTAAGAATTCAAACAGTACTCCTACTAAATACTATTTTTTTTTAGTAGTCACATCTTTTTTAATCAAATAATTTTCAATTATTATTCATATATTTTCAACTGAACTAAACTATCAACAAGAAGACAAACTTATTGAGTAATGGAAAATTCCTCTTGTATGTATAAATATGATTACTTTGGTACCAAGTCATAAAGTGATCAAAATATGAAATAGTACAATTCTACAAAGCAATAACTGATTAACTAATCAATTTTGATCAATTCATTGATATCTCATTCCTCATCACGATGTGCATTTATTAATGAATTGATAACAGTTATGATCATTTAATCAATTCATTTGTTATCTTTGAATTTCTAATTGCAGCAACAAAATGTAAATAAAGTAATAAAGATTTGAATTTTTCCTTTTCATTGTCATTGAAAATTTTTTCTTTCATCAAATTGAAAATATTGGTCATATATTCAATTTTTTTCACTGATTATTTAATGGTCATTTTATTTTTGGGTATTTTTAGGCAAGTGCTGCCCAAAATTCTACCCAAATGAAACATTTTTTAATGTTGCAAATATTTCCAAACTATCTTCTTAATAACAAAATTTCAACTATTCATATTATTGCAGTTGTTGCTTCATTATCATCAAATTTCGGAATTGCTATTCGATAATTATAAATGTTTTCATAAGCATTTCCGTTTTCTTCGTATCGAACAAAATTGCTGATGCTAGTTGTGATTCATTTAAAGCAGAAGAAATTTCAATATGACGAATATTTTAGAGATTATTATGATCATTTTTCCTTATCATCAAGACTAATATCAAATATCATCGCAAATGATTACAATATGCCCCAAAAGATTAATAATTTCTTCCAAATAGAATTTTTCTGTTTTTCTTTCCTTTTATAGTATTAGTGAACTAACACCATTGATAATTCAAAAACATCATTTTTTGCAATTGCAATTAAAAAATTCCTCACTGATATATCAAAAAAAAAAAAAAATCTCAATTCAGTGAAAATTTGCGAAAGTCTTCATAACAACATTATGATAGAAATAAAAGCATTTATCGAAATAATTTAAAAAAAAAAAAAAATGAAAATAAGTAGAAACAAATATCGGCAATCTTTTTTTTTTTGTTATTCAATATTTTTAAATTGATTTTTGGTATATTTTGTCAGTAAATAATGTTTTCATGAATAATTGAAAACAAAACGAAGCATTCTGTACTATAAAAAAAAATTTTTTTTACATGTATATTTTCATATATTTTTTTTATTTTTGATAAGATTTAAAAAACAAAAAAGTTATAACTAAGATTAATGCATAAACCTTTTATGGTATAATCCATTTTTTCTTTTTTTCTTTTCGTTTCTTTTGATTGATTGAATTGATTGACTAAGCTTCTCACTAAGCTTTGTGGTTTTATTTGTTTGTATTGAAAAAAGGGTTGAATTTATAAAGTCTCTGCTGAAGTCAATTTATGAAGAAACAAATTAGCATAGTTTTTTTTTAAAAAAAATGATTGCTCATTCTTATGTATTGATATGTTCTAACTTTAATCGTAAATAGTATTATTCATTAAATATTGTTTATCAAATTGTCACCATTATATATACTTATAGTTCTACTACAGTTATGCATATAATAATTTGTCATTACTACTACAATTACAATAAGACTGTTTAGTTAATATTTCATAATGTAAATTTTGTATCGTAATAGCAAAATTCAAGAAGTTCAAATGAAAGTTTTAGGCAGTCCATTGTACATATCAAAAATGCTAATACTTATCACATGAGCTAAAAAAAATTCAATATAAAATTTCCAATTAATTTCTTAGTTCTGTTTACATATATGTCAAAAGTTTAAGCAATTTTTCTTTTCTCTTTCTGTTCTTTTTTTTTTGATTTTCTTCTATTCATTTAATCTGATAAATTTTCCTG